ATGAGAGGTGTTGACAAGGTTTGCAGTATCAATACAATATGGTCCTGACTAGAGATGGCAATTTTCCTCGTATAGGGACAGGGATGGGAACCGGGGTGGAGACGGGGATTGATAGTGATACCTGAATTGGGACAGGGACAGGATGGGGAGTGAATTCCCTGTCTTGCCCTGACCCCAATTATATATATTAAATATATACATATATAATATTATTTATATCAAAATATATTTAAAATATTTTTATATTTTAAAAAATTTCCCTTATTTTAAGTAAATCTATTTTTAAAAATAGTTTGAATTTAAAAATTTCGGGGTTTTGGGTCTTCGATAGGGAACCCATCCGTCTCCATGAGGGTCAGGGATGAAGGGTCATTTTTATCCTTGGTGGGATCAAGGTCGGGGATGGGGATTTGTTTCAAAGTCGGGGTCATGAATGGGGAATATGGTCCCTCCCCGAACCACCCTGTTGCCATTACTTATATATATATANGTTGCCCACTAAAACAGTGGGACCCGTCATGTATAAGATTTACAGTGTCAGATAATGTTGGTAGTTTGTTGGAACATATTTTGTTGGCAGGTTATTATATATATATATATATATAATTTGAGGGTTATGACTCATGGGCACACGACATGGGTGGAAAGTGGTACTCTATAAACTCACTTAATTGATGTATTCAACTCCTGTTAAATTGCATTTGCACGTTCCTCTATTATCTCATAAACCACATATATATGTAACATTCTTTTGGCATTTTTCCAATGTTTCACAAGGTATCCCAGTACTAAATACTTTACATAGACTAATATGTGTTTACACTTTATTTATAGTCATTTGAGCATTAGATTTAAGTGTTATTAATACATTTTGTGGCTTATATACGAATTATCATAGCATAACCATGCATGTTCTAACCATTCCTTTGCATCCATGAATTCCCAAGTGTATTCTAACACATATCTTACTATTAGCAACCTTGGGTGTTGAGCTCTTCAACCTTGTTAAGCTTTCCAGATTGTTCTTGAAGAACAGGGATGTATACCATTTACTGAGTTTGATTGATGGACTTGTCTCTACCTCTCTCTCTAACATTCAATGTTTTATTAATGGTCATACAAACCATGCACACACAAAATGAAACACATGTTACAACTTTTTCAAGTTGCAACTTGTGAGCATGGGGATGTAGGTGAAGTTCAAGAGCTGAAGACCTGTGGAATATCTATACAATCTCTCAATGCGGTACTTGTATTCTCTTTATTTTACAGTCTTATCAATTAAAATAATAAATTTGGTTTGTGCAGCTTGAATCCAAAATAGATAATAATCAATTGGTTCAATATGACCCCTAATTACACCATCCCACCCCCCAAAAAAAGGAAGAAGAAAAAGAGTAAGAGTGAGAGACGTGTGTAATGCTTTTGAAACAAGGTGGCAAAGAGCAAAAGATGTATATGTTAGTGTTACCTATTTGGATATGTTACTATTTCTTTTTCTTATTTTTAGTCCTCGCTTTTTGGTAAGTTTACCCAGGTATGCACTTAACTGGGTAAGTGTTTCTCAGGAATGATTTACCCGGGTAAGTGCATTTACCCATGTTCTTTTATTTTCCAGGTAAACAAGGCAATGCCCATTCTAGCCATAAAAATTCATTATTAAAAGGGGCATTTTTGTCTCATTCAAGTGCTAGTGACTTTCCTCATAGATGGGAAAGTTATTTACCAACCTAGGAGAACTTTCCTTGAACCCCACATAAATCTGAAAAAAGAAGATAGGTTTCCTGGTCAATGGGAATTAAAATCCCATAATTACCATTGACAAATTTTCCCCCCTCAAAAAAAAAAAAAAAAAAGAATCCCCTTACAGATAAATTACAGACTGCCACCCTGCACTCATGGGGTGGTGACACTCAACTTCCTGAACTTTGTTTTGTGTGACAGAGAACCCACTAAAACCTAGGAGGGATTCAATCCCAAGTCTCCACCAAAACCAATAGAGATCTTACCAACCAGCCATTTGCCACCTTGCAAAAAATGAGTACATAGAGATGTTCCCAATTTATGGCTGTAATGGCAGTTGGGACTGTGTTGGGACGGACTCGTGATTCACGAATGAACTGTTGTGTTTGAATGTCAGTTGATAGGGATCTCTGCGGATAGAATGAGGTTCAGGTTTGAGTTGGGGACGTGCTACCCCCTCGTGTAGCCCCTTCTGTCTATAAAAAAAGGAGTGAGGTTTGAGTTGTTTCTAACCTTAAATTGTTTAAATGTCACTTGGGACTTTGTGCTGTGTAGTTGCTACAACCCAGCCTGAGCCCAGGTTTCTGTGTACAGGCCCGACCTAGGCCCGCAACAAGCCCACAAAATTCCGGGTGGGGCTTGGGCCCAACACTTTAGACTCGGAGTGAAAAACAGCTCGGCCTCCTCGTCAGTTATCTTAAGGTTCTAAACATTGATTACCTCCGAATATAAGGTAAATCCAAATTTTATTCGTTTATATTAACATTTGAATTGAATCTTATCTTATTCACCATTGGATTTGAAGTTAATTCCGATTACAAATATGTATAAATATATACAAGATACAATTTTTTGTTCATTACATATTTATATTTTCACTCTTCTCAAATGGAACTTAAGATTTAGTTTGGAAGGAATACAAATACGAATATGTACAGTACAAATACATACAAAATAATACAAAATACAAGATTTTGTATTCTACATATTTATATTTATACTCTTCCAAAATGGAGCCTTATATGTTATAAATTACAAATGGTGAAAACATTATAAATTATTAATATAATAATCTAAAAATGATCGATATTGCATATCATTAACAAAATATATTAAAAATAAATTTTATGAAACTTGAATTAATAATTATTTAGTAAAAAGACAACATTCAAACCAACTTCAATAAAAGGCAATTATCCAATGCTGGTCCAAGCTATCTGGGGTCTTCGGAAGGACTGTCCTAAACTTTGGCATTCAAATTGACTGCTTTCATGCTCGAATCTGTGTTTTGACGCTTGTCAGCCTGAGATTCTATACAGCAAGCAATGTCCTGTTCAAACTTTTTTTTTGTTTGAAGACCCAAACAAACCTTATTAGTAGATAGAATTTAATTAATTAATCATATACGTTTAAATCAAATACAATTGGATTTTATTAGATTAGACGGGTGGATCCATGTTAAATCCAATTATAAATTAATCAAATTCATATCACCCTTAACTGGATCAAATTTGAATTCAAAATTCAGATAAATAGATACCATTTACAGCCAAAATAGTTTCAATATCTAATGAACCCAATTAACATTTTAGTGGGATTGTTGAATTGTGGATCCCATCGAAGTTTGAGGGGGTAGGTACTCTATTTGGTGAGCTTTACACTGAAATATTCTCCTTGAATAATTTTTGTCTATTATTCACTTTATCCATATCCAGAGTTCAGATCTGTGCCCCACAAGTGGGTGCCCCACGTCCCACCCCACATCCCCGCCCTGTATTGGGAACATCTCCCGATGATGACATCATCGGAACTGATACTATCATCGAGAGTTGTTCCCAATGCATAGCGGGGATGTGTTGTGGGACGTTGTGGAGCGCAGATATGAACTCCTTTATCCAAGTATTTCCTTAATTGCTTCAAACAACATGAAAACCGACAGAAGAAATATTTTCTTTATCACCAAATTTCCTACAAAACAAGGTTCTCAGTATCAATAAACTAAAATGCAAAAATTGCATTTTACACATTTTAAAGTTGTCGGTCCATACATGGGGTCTTGGAAGGGCTGGATATAGTTCTAACCTGTAGCATTTTTTGCATAAAATGACCGCTTTTCAAACTCAAATCAGTTGGTGAGATATCACAGTTGACAATTTTAATGCTATAAAGTTTTAATGTAATTGGTAAATACACCTCATAACAGATGAAAAGTAAATACACCACATGATATCTTTTATATGATTGGTTGATATAAAAATTCAACGTATCACAAATGTTCATTTCTACACTGTGGTAGGACTCTAATTACACTTAAGACACCTCCTAAATCCTTATAAATGGTGTATCAGTTTGTTCAAAAACCAATACATATCATAAGATACATAGTAATATATTGTAAAATTTTGAACTTTGCTACAAAATAAATACCAAGGTTTTTAAAACCGACCCGGAGACCGAGTCAGTCAGGGGTCTGGTTCTCGGGTCGAACGGTCCGACCATTCGAACCGAACAATTGGCCCGTTCTGACAAAAAATAAAAAACGGTTAAAACCGCTGAATAGTTCAAACGGTTCAACTGCCTGGGTCAGCAATTTGCTGACCAAATCAATGGTTTTTTTTTTGCAAAAATCCGGTTTTGGGAAAAAATGGAACCGGTCACCTGACTGGTTCCCGTTTTTTCCGGTCCGACCATCTGGTCTGGTACAGTTTTGAAAACCATGGTAAATACAGCATCAATTAATGGATATTGAAGCCATGACAGCATGAAATTCAGTAATGGCATCCATCACTTTAGAGTTAAATGTCTTTATCAGATTACCAGTATACATGATGACAATTAAACCAAATTTTGTGAAGTAAAACTATGTTTAAACAAGAATTTCATAGAATTCAAAATCAGGTTTCATTACATTGTCGTTTTTGTCTATGCACCCCTTAGATTTCATTGTATGTTTGTAAAAATATTAGAAGCATTACACAGTCCAATTGATCCCAGGTCTAGCAGGACGTATTAGAACAATTGAATCCCCATATATTCTTCATATTGGATTATGTTACATAACGCTAACTAAACATTTGTAAACCGGGACTGGCAGAGTTGCAGTATGTGGGTACATAGCTGCAATTGGTAAGCTTTGAGATTATGATATGCTTCATTAGTGTGCTGTCTATCTGATTGGCATTATAACTTGGGCCAATGCAAAAGACACTCCAGTTGATAGCAATAATTCAGTCTATGTTGACAAACGAGAATTCAGATACAGCAGAATCAAACTTTATATTTTTATGACATTATATTGAAATAATAAATATACATGGTGCAGTTTGCCATATGGCTGGTAAAATTACAGCAACTGAACCTTTGACCTATGTAATATACACTGGATGATATAAACAGAACTTGAGAGAATAAATAATAAGCCCAGTACAAGGGCCCAACAAAGCAACAAATCAAGAATTGACCATGAGAACAATAAAATCAGCTTCAATGGAAAAACATCAGGCAGAGCACCCGGCATTTCAGTCAATTTTGTCATTCTGTCAGCTCGACAGATCCCCAGTTCTGGCTTCATGAAATTTCCCAAGATTATGATATTTCACAGAAGTATGATGTCAGGGCTGTTTGTTTCCTTCAGCATGTGGTTAAGTAAAATAGCTGACCAACCTTAGCACCTTTAGGTTTGATCACCATGGTTGAGGAAGTTCTTAGATAATCCTTGCAGGAATATATCTTCAAAGGGAATATCACAAGCATCCCATTGGAGATGTTGTCTTGATATGGAGGTGCCTTTTCTCGCCCTCTCATTTTTTTTCTCTATTTTGCATTATTTTCTTTCAAATAACTCTAAGCTCGTGGAAGCTACCCCTCCATAGAAGTACACAACCAATTAAATAACTGCACTCCATTCTGCTTAGTCTTTATAGTGTATCTGATCCTTCTATACAGCACATTGGGCCAGCATTTTGCAAATGCTCACAGTAGTGTTCAGTTGAAGAAGTATGGAGATTCAAGAACTTCTTTCAAGTCAAAGTCGCCTCTATCAGGAAGTGGAGGAAATGTCAACAATGGAAAGGATACCTGGAAGCTCTCTAGCAACTGGACACAACCAGAACCAGAATTAGGACAATGAAGAAATAACTGAAATAAAAGCATCACATTAATCTGTCATTTCTTTGATGGCATAGTTAGTACACAAGGAACCCATTGTTTCACATCTAGACCCTTAATAAAAATAGAATACTAGATTAAATATGCTTACTCTCTCAAGTATTGGCATGTCGTAAAGCTCCACAAATTTCTCCCTAAGAATCTGGTTCATTCTATCAACATCACATGCATGTGTCCAGAAGGAGTCATGCACTCCTGCAAAACAATTTTTTTTTAGTAAGTTAAGAATTTACATACAGAATTGAAAATGCTGATTTGGCAGAACATATATAGTTCAGATACAGGAAATAGAGAGTGAGACCAGGTTCAAAAGCCTATCAGAAATTACAAATATTTTTAGTTTCCTTATGGGTTTACTCATAGGACATTAATTCGTAGTATTGGTGACTTAAAATGAGGATCTTTACTGTAGCTGAATAAATAAAAATGAAAATAAAGACATCTAGATATTCAAACCTAAACATGCTCTAGCCTCAGATTCATGATCCAAGTTAAAATCCAGAATCAATGCATATACAACCCAACTCAGTCTTAATCCCAATCATTTGAAACCAGTTGCAAGAATCATGTCCAAACAATTTTTCTCCATAGAATCAGTGCATATGGATTAAAAAATAACAAAAAGAAGTTAAGGCACCTCTGTGTCACCAGGTAGATTCCAGCATTTGTCTTGAACATAAGAGTTCTGTGACAGTATTGCACTACCCACTAAATACTGTGTACGGTTGTCTGGCTCATTCACTCAGTGATTAATGATCATCAAAACTTATTTGAACCAATGATCGATTATTCACTCAAAAATACAGTATTGCCTATTGCTTTTCCCTGTTGCACCCTACCTATCCCCATGTTTCTTGCCAATTCCTCTTCCATTAAAGAATCCAAGTACCATTTTTATAAAAATTTCACCTATTATTTTTCAACCTAACCAAGATAATGCCATAAGTTGTCTCAGCTAACTAAATTGAAGATTTCAAACATTTTCAGATCAAGAGGAAACCAAAGCCAATTCTCTGTTTCTTCTATGAACTGTTCATACAAGAATTGATGACACAAAGCAGTTGTTCCACAAAATAGTGGAAGATTTGAATGGGATTTCGATCTAAATGGTTACAGCAAAATAAAAGGAAAATTATACTCTAATTGAATAATTCTTAGTTTTAGAATACAAAAATAGTTGTTTCACCTTTCTTTTTTCCTCTCTCTCTAAAAGCCATACATGATCCATTTTAGTGATATTTTTGTAACCAAACGTTCTCATTACAGAGTTCCAATCTACTGCTGACACAAATTAGCAAGACAAACCTGCAAAATGTAAGCCGGCATCCCTGCAGGCAACAGCAGTCATCATCATGTGTGACCCGTCAAGAGAGTGTACAAAATTGGGTGGAAATGCTGTTCTCTGTCTTTTAACCTCAACCTGACGTTGGAGACAAGAGCCAAGTTTCAGAAAATGCTTATCACCTAAAGAAAGAGAACAAAAATACAGAAAGAAGATTGAGAWACCAAATCACCCTCCCGCTGCAAAGCCAAAACCTGAAGGGAAGTTCTAACCTGCAACCACAACATGCACATAAGTAAAACATGGTTAACATTTAAAAGGTTACACCAAGGTTCAAAGTATCGGAAAGACAATTTTAAGAGACGTATCAGGATACGCTTTGGATACAAATAGATACAGACTAAAAATTAAGATACCTATAAATATGTTAGGAAATTCAAATATATCCTAAAAAAACATATATTTATTAGTATATAAATTTTAATAATTAATTCTAGCATTTATTAATAAATATCCATTAAGAAAAGAGAAAATTTACTTAAAAATAATAATGCATACGACCATAACAAACAAATGGGCATGGCCTAGTGGTGTCTTATGGTTGTTAAAACCTAGTGAGTAAGGTTCGAATCTTGCCATTGTTTAAAGTCTATAGTTTTTATACTAACAAAACGAAATTAATGAGACAGGATCATTAATTAGCGAAATTAATGAGGGAGTATCATTAATTAGTGGAATTAATAAGAGAATTCGCTAAAATTCAAATTTAAATTTAAAGTAGGAGTAATTGACTAATTAATGAAAGAAAAGTTAGAATTAAATATAGAATTAATTAAAGAGATTAATGAATGAAGAGCACCCAAAAAAATCAAGTGTATCGATGCGATACATACAAAAAGAAACGGAACAGATGATTTCTACACATTCCGCATGCTGGGCTCTTGTCGGAACGATATGTATCAGCCGATACGGCCCGATACGTTGCGAAATTTCAAACCTTGGGTTACACAATGTGCAGGAAAAATCAAAGGAGCATTGTTTTTTTTTTTTTTTTTTGAGGTACGACAAGAACTTCTATTCAGGTAAAAGTTACAGCACCATGAGAGGCACTCAAGTTTTTTGGCTACAGGGAGTCAGTTTGGGAGTGCATTATGCAACATCTTCCAAAAGATGTACTTCTCAGAACAAATGTATCATCTACATTTTACAATAGATGGTTCGCATATAAAGTACAAAAGACTTCAAAAATAGGAGCCACTGCAAATCCCTTGCCACCTCGGCACCTCCCTTTCTCAAAAGAGAAATGAAAGTAAAAGATTTTATTTTCAATAATATGAGAGGCATGAACAAAGATAAACAGTTTAGGTATAAATTGCTTTAGTTGGAAGATTCAAGGAGAAAAATGTAGTTATTAGTTTGGGCATTAATAAAAAGTAAATCACTATGAAGAAAGAAAATATCAGGAAACCTGAATTTTTTTTTTTTTTTTTTTTTGGGGGGGGGGAGGATCCCAGATCAGATATCAAGAGTAAAAATTCATGATCACTTGAACTTTAAATCCTTCCATAAATTTTATTTGTAGGACCATTTCCCTCTTTTTCACTAAGAATATGCCCCTTGTCCAGTTATTTTCCAATTGAAAATTTTACATGGTTAGCATCTCAGACTCCAGGATTTTTATGGACATCTATTTTGATGAGATTCCATTAATCTGAAACACTCACAAGATGCCTTTGAGGTTTAAGATAAGGTTGCACAACTGGGAGCCCCAGAGGAGTTGTCCACCTCACAGGCTGGTTCTCTGATGCAATAACCTGTTGCAATCATCCAGTGGTTACAAAAAACATATCCAAATCTTTCATGGTAATGAAATTATTGATGCTATCAACAGTCATTAGTCAATACACATGGTAAGAGGCATACCTTTGCACAGTCACTAAGCCATCCCATTATACTACGTGCAGCTTGAAACATCTCTTCAAGAGCAGTCAATGTTACCTATGAACAAGATGTTCCGGACTGATGATTAATAACAAAAGTGAAAAATAACTATGATCTACGACATCTCTATACATGTAATTCCTTGTGCACCTAAGGCATGAACCCATGTTGATTTTTCCCCAGTTGATAATAGAGATCAAGATTTTTTATTGAAAACAGATAGCAGTGCAGTATTAGAAAACTCCCAAAGGAACTCAAAAGCTTTTATTGAAAACACAGATAAAAGCATAGACATTAGAAAGCTCCCAAGGCAGATGAAACAAAACCCACAACTCAGTCAGCCTGCATACACCAAAAAAAATCTATTCAGAGGGGCCTAACTCCATGCTGAGCATGGCAACTCCCAGATCTAGAACATGGACGCAGACATAGATATACATTGATACACATATTTGCAAATACATGTGTATGCTCTTGTGCTTGTAGTAGGGGTGCAAACCAGTTATCAGATTTGGAGAATTAACAAAGCATTGGACCTGGGCCCTTGGGTGGGACCCATTCACACAAAGATGCAGCCCTACCTTGGGGTGCAATTTGGGCAGGCTCGGGTTGAAGATTTGCTAAAATTTGAATGATGACACTGTAATTTCCTCATATTGGATACCCGACTTGCACCCCTATATGCTTGTGAATTTTGTGTATGCCCAAAATCCAAATATAAAAGAAGAATAAATATCATGGTTCACAGAATGGAACTGCATCTGAAACATCTCCATACATCTTTAATAGTAAAATACAGACAGCTTGATTCACATATGTTCAATTGTCTCTTATGCATATTGACATTTGAATCCTGTTGAATGTGTGTTTGCATACTTAAAATCTATAGATTAATATATATATATATATATATATATCATCATCTAAAAATATTAGAAGTTTCCCACAGCTGTGTTCCTATATTTGGACATATTTGCTTTTGCTCCCACCCCCATGTTTTTTGTGTTTTGAATTCATCTCCCTACATTATCTAGATTTCATGAATCCATATTCCTGATGTTAACAGCCATCCTTGTTATTTAAGAGCATACATGGCTGGCATATTTTAAACATTTGAATAAAAGAAGTCCTCAAATCCACCGATTGTGTTAGTCTTAGAAGACAATGATGGGATACTATTATGAACATAAACTTGCTTAACATAAAGGGATTTTCAGGTTTTCCAGTAAATAGACTGGCATGTATTATTTTTTGACAAGTTTATAAAAAGAGAAATAATCTTACAATTTATGACACAATTTGATTCAATTTTCTCTACGATTTATGGTACAATTGCAATTTTCAAAACATTGGCCCGAGTTGGGCTGCAGGCCTGGGTGGACCTGTCTCTTTTTTTTTGGAAATTTCTTGTTTTTCTTGCTAAGTGAAAATTACAGAACTAAAAAATAAAACTAAACAAAAAACACGAACAATTAACAAATTAGACAACAAATTGAAAAAATTCTAAAAATTTTATTTCATTTGAATTTAATGTATACAATTGATTTGATCAATTGGTCATATATGAAATAATAAAATTAAATTGAAAAATATTACAATAAATTTGGAAAAAAATAGTATAATAAAATTGAAAATAAAAATTTATATACACATCTATGTATGTATGTAGGGGTGTCAATTGGACTGGATTTGGTCCAATCCGGTCCAGTCCAATGTGAGTCCATTACAAATGGACTCGGTCCAATCCAGTCCAATGAACATTTTTGACCATTTTGGACTGGTCCAGAGACTGTTCAATCTGTTCAAATTCCTGTTAATTTAGATTGGTTTCAACACAAACCTGGTTCATTGACCAGATATTGACTCAGTCCAATATATTCCAATATAAATTCGTTATGGATGGACCAGGTCCAATCCAATATGTCATATTGGTCCGTCCAGTCCATCCAAATTCAATGTCTTATTGGTCCATCCAATCCATCCAAATGGATTTTGATTTGGACGGAGTCCAATCCAAAACTGGTCCATTGACACCCCTATATGTATGGGCAGTGTCTGTGCTACCTGTGGGCCTTAAAACCCCATCTTAGCACAACATAGAGGTTTGATCCAGGCCTAGCACAACCCACTTGCTACAGTGACCGGGCAGTGCTAGCCCGTGGGCAGCATGACCTAGTTTACAGAGCTCTACATGGTAATAACCTGGTTGTCTAATTCTAAGTTATCTCCTATTAGCAGATTTTTTTTTCTTTGTCGGCAAACACTACTAAAGATATTTGGGATGGAGCAACGAAGACCTATTCTCAAAACTAGAATGTTCTTAGAGCCTATCAAATGAGAAATCAAGAAGACAGGGAGATAAACCACTTGTAGTGTTTTTTTTTTTTTTTTGCTTTGAAAACTTTATGAAATAAGATAGATCACTTGGAGGCTGTGGTATGGGAGAGTATGAATGATGGTACTACCTATCAAAAGTTGGTAGAACAGCGCATTTGAGTTTGTGGCTGAAGTAATGCGGAGTTTGACATTGCCCGACAACATATTCTTTCCCATGAGAGTGTCACTCTCTCTTAAGCATATGCCTTTGTGTTTGGAGAGGAGAGTAGGAGGAATGTTATGATGAGACAGTATGGGATTGAGTAGTCAGCCATGGTTAGCACTAACAGGCCTAAACCCAATGGGGATAAAGGTTACAATGAGAATAAATGGGAATATAAGGACTTGGCGTGTGATTATTGTAAGAGACCCAAGCATACCGAATACACTTGTTAAAAGCTCCACCCTCACCTTATACTGGCTTGGATCAAGAACAAGAAGGGGAATGCCAATATGGTAGTGATTGGGGAGTCATTCATATCTCACACTCTAGCTTCCTTGGAATCTATTGCAGCAGTAGTAATCAAGGTCAAATTGGAAAAGTATGGGCAATATATGAGTTAGCGAGACACTGCTAGTTCCTATTCATCTCAAGGGGGAGAACAAAGTGTAGGCAGTTCTAGGACATGACAGACCACTTCCTTTGCTCGTATAGGTATTTCATATGTCACTACTAACCATGTCTCCACTTCAAGGATGGACCTCTCTGGATTATAGACTCAAGTGCCTTTAAGCATATGACCAATGTTTCTACCTTGTTTTCTTCATATCAGTTGTGCTTTAGTAGAGATAAAGTTTCTATTACATATGGTTTTCATGTTTCCATAGTATGGAAGGGATTTGTTAGAGTGACTTGACACCATTACTTTACCTTATACTCTACATGCTCCTAGACATACTAATCTTTTAGCTGTTAGTAGCTTGACCAAGAGCCTAAAGTGTTCAATAACCTTTTTTTCCTAATCATTGTGTTTTTTAGGATTTGGGGTTAGAGAGGACGATTGGGAGTGGTCATGAGGTGAATGGAATCTACCTACTAGATAAGCTTCCAAGTTATCAGAGTCATCATGTCAACAACAGGAGTAATGGGTTAGAGCTTGTGAGTCAGATTATGCTATGGCATAATCGTTTAAGTCATTTATCTTTCAATTCTTTACGTTTTTGTTCCTGAATTTCTATTAAGTCTATTAAGTTGTTTGGTCTAGAGTATGAAAGCTGTCTACTTGGAAAGCATTGTAGACAATCTTTTTCTTCAAGTAATAAAAAGAGTTCTGCTTTTGATATTTGTAATCATTCATGGAGAGTGGGAGGCGAGAGAGAGAGAAAGAGAAGGAAAGGGAGATACGATTGAGAGAAAAAGAAAACTGTCTCTGGTTGCCGCCAGCTCATTATTTATATTAACTTAATAAAAAAAAAAGAGTTGAAATTACAAGTATGCCCCTGGCGGCACACCCTAGAAACAAACTAATAAGAAAAAAAGAAAAATAACTAACTAACAGTATCTTAAGAGGACCACCTACTAACAGCAACTATAAAGTAACAATTAAATAAGCCTTACAACACTCCCCCTCAAGTTGGGCTAAATATGTCTATCATGCCCAGCTACGAGTATGGAAGCCCTTTTGTGAGGACATCAGCAAGTTGTTCCTTGGAGTTGACATAAGGGATGCAAATTTCTCTTTTTTCCAATTTTTCCCTTATGAAGTGTTTGTCCACTTCAATGTGATTGGTCCTCTCATGTAGGACAGGATTGCTGGTGATGCTTATTGCTGCCTTGTTGTCACAGTAAAGAGACATAGGATTATGAACAACAACTCCAAGTTCCCCTAGAAGATTCTTTAGACAAAGGACTTCAGCCACCCCATGTGCCATAGCTCTATATTCAGCTTCAGCGCTTGACCTTACTACCACACTTTGTTTCTTGCTTTTCCAGGTCACTAGGTTTCCTCCCACAAATGTGCAATACCCACTCGTGGACTTTCTGTCATCCACAACACCTGCCCAATCAGCATTTGTAAAAACTTCCACCTTTAGGTGATTATGTTTACTGAATAGTAGACCTGTTCTGGGATATTTTTCAAGTATCTAAGAACTATCTCTGCTACCTTCATGTGTGGTTTCTTAGGAGAGTGCATGAATTGGCTTAGAACTCCAACTGAATAGGAAATGTCTGGACGGGTCATGGACAAATAAATCAGCTTTCCCACTAACCTTTGGAACTGTTTCACATCTTTCAGAGGCTCACCATCACAGTCACCCAACTTGTGGTCAACATCCATGGGAGTCTCTACTGGCCTTGCACCTAATTTGCCTGTGTCCTGTAATAGATCAAAGGTGTATTTCCTTTGAGAGATAAAGATACCCTTTTCTGAGCAGGCGACTTCAATTCCAAGGAAATACTTCAGGGGACCTAGATCTTTCACTTCAAATTTTGATGCAAGGAATTGTTTCAATTTTTGTATTTCTGAACTCCAACTTCCTGTAATGATGATATCATCCACATACACTATCAATACAACAACCTGTTCCTGACATCTCTTCACAAAGAGTGTATGATCAGATTGACATTGTTTGAAGCCCATCTGCTGAACTGCCATGTGAAACTTACTGAAACAAGCTCTGGGATATTGTTTTAAGCCATAAAGAGACTTTCGCAGCTTGCACACCTTATTTTCACTTAC